TTAGAGTGAGAGAAACATGTGGAACAAAACTCAAAAGCATGAAAAAAGATAGGGTTACTAGTCTGATGGAGACTGGTGAAGTGCCTGAGACTATGGCCTCTAGTTACTCTTTGGGCCTAGAATTGAATTCATTCCTGTAGCTTAACTTTAAGCCAGATAATAGACAGGCCTACAAGGTGAACAATTCCACCAGGGAGGTATACTCCTTAGAATAATCAACCCTGGAAGTTCAGAAGGGCAGCATTTGTGTAGGGGGACAGCTCAGAGGGCAGGAATGCATAGAAAAGAAGGACACAGGGAAAAGGTAACGACAGAGAGGAAGTGGGAAGAGAGCTGTTGTTACGTTGTGGGGATTGCGGTCAGTGTCACGAAACAAACTGTGGAAGAGAGCTGTTGTTACATTGTGGGGATTGCGGTCAGTGTCACGAAACAAACTGTGGATGAACTGTTGAATGGAAAACCAATTTGCTCTGTAAACTTTGACCCAAATCACAATGAAAAGTTTCGGGGGGAAAAAAAAAAAGAAAAGCTTAAAAACATATGTTCCCTCTGAACTTTGGAAGGTTTTGAAACCTTAGCTTTGAAAAATTGCTCTCAAAAAGGTAGACTAATAAGAAAAGTGACTACACCTCAACGAGCTCTGGTGATGCAGCACCTGGTTACCCCGGCACACATCCTCTGTGACAGTGCCTGTCACTGGAGGGCTGCGTGCTGACACACTCTTGTGCTTTCATGGAAAGTGTGAGGAGTAGAGATGAAACTGCCATCCTGCTGGAGAAATAAGCATTGCATCAGAGTAGATAAATGTCATCAGAGAATCCCTGAAACACACTCCCTACATACACAGGCTCTTTTCTCCTCAGACCCCTGAGCTACCGACCTCATGAGCCTTATGGAATAGTAACTGCTCCCCAGGTAGCTCTTTGATTTCTGGATACAGATGGAAACCCAGTGTTAAGTGTGGGATCAACCATCTGCTCGGATTAGGCCATGTTTATCTCACGATGCTGTGGCTTCTGCACACGGCCTGGTGTGGTCTTACGTCCCTGGCCACTCCCGCCTGAAATAGTGTGGCTTCTATTTTGATATCAATTCCCATTCCTCCTTTCTCAAAGACTTAAGCTCTTAATTCTAACCATTCTCTTACTCCATTCATCTCCCTACTCCCAGTTTACTTCTTCCTCTCTTACCTTCCAGCCCCCTCACTCCAGACACTCCTCCTTCTATTGCCCATTTTCCTACCCTTCAGTTCTTTGTTGCACATCGTCCCATGCTCTCGATTTATCCTCTATTTCTGTAATGGGTAATGTTCGTAGTTTATAGTGTGAAAATGAAATAATACCCAGTAGTAACCTGTGTGTTTGTGTATAATAGAAAACATTCCTCTGTAACATGTACATCCCATCTGCATTCAGCCTAGTTGTCTGTCTTCAAAATCCAGAAACAAAAGGGAAAAAGCTGACTGGTGCCAAGTAGATGCTCAGAAACTCTGGACGCTGAAGCATATGTGTTTTGTTCTTAGGAGATGTTAACTCTTAATTTACTCACAGTGCTAACAAGTTCTTTATCTGGAGTCTCCTTGTTTGCTTGTTGGTTTGATGTCCAAATCCATGATTGATTAAGAGTGGCACATTACAGGGGCTGAGGGACAAATATAAAGGCCAGTACAGGAGGGCATCTCTGGAGCTGGGAGACTGGCTGGCTGCTGAGAATGCAGGCAGAAACGTACAAAAAGCAGATGTGAACTTCAAAAATGCCAGCAGCCTGGATGCATTTAGTAGAGGAACGGAAACCCACACCCCCAAGTAACTCAAAGGGTGTGTGTGTTCAGCAAGCAGTGCTGGCATCCAAATCCATATAATGTACTTCCTTCCATGGGATTTCCAGGGAATTGGGGCATGTACAAGGAAGCTTCCCACAGGGAAAACAAGGCATTTAATGAGTATTTCCATGTAAAATAGCTAAAGCATGCACAGAGAGTACATTCACCATTTTTCTGCCAAACTTGGCTTTCTCTGATTGCTTTACCCCTCAGCATTGTGAACACACAGCCATTGTGTATGTTCTGCTGTGTTCTTTTAGCTCATTAATGGTTGAGAGTCTGTGTGTCTCTATCTTTCTTGTTCCTAAGGCCAAGTATACTATAACTATAGTAAACACAAGAGTTATAATTTTTTTTTTTTTTTTTTTGACTAATAGAAACTAAGGAGAGTTTAGGCTTAATCACACTTGAACAGTGTTTTCCAAGTGCTTGATTATTGGTTTCCTTTTATCCAAGGAAAGTGTATTCATTCATTCACTTTTTAAGTAGACAATTTTTAGAGCAGTTTTAAACTTACAGAATATGTGAGCAGAAAGTAGTGTTCCTCTCCCCTACCCCCATTTCCCCTATTATTAACATCTTGCATTGGTGTGGTACTTTGTTAAAAATGATGAACCAATACTGATGTAGTATAATTAACTAAAGCCCACAGTTTATATTATGGTTCATTCTTCATGTTGCTGTCCTGTGGATTTTGGAAAATGCATAGTGTCACATACCCTCCATTACAAAACCATCCTAAAAATATCTTGTCTTTCATTTACTCATCCCCCAACCCCACAACCAAGTTTACTTTAAACAGCAGTTGTTGAGCATCTACTCTGTACTGTGTACCTGGCCCTCTGTTCTTATTGCAGAATAATTTGATTAGTATGTTCCTGACTAGAAGTTAAGATAAAATGGATGAAAATGGTTCTAGAGAGAGGACCAGTAGAGGATCGTTTTGTTTCAGGGTCAAGATAGAGTGTCTCATGGAGTCAGGAGATTAGTCAGGAGATTGAATTTAATTAAGCCCTTTTCTCAGGGAGAAGAATACACATGTAAGGTCATTTAACAATTGTGATTTAAAGGACTTCATTGAATCAAGGTTCTACTTATTTGTGTTGGGTATACTTGCATACTTAGGCAAGGACTTCACAAGTTGTAACTTTTCAAAGTCTACCGTTTACTTTCTTGAGAATACCAATTTGAAGTAAAAAGTACGGTGCCTAAGTAATTGTTTTGACTACGCAGATCTTCAGTGTTTTTCAAACTGTTTTGGCCACAAAAATGCATTTCACATGGTTACACAGAACACCATCACGAAGGAGTGTGTGCATATATTTTAAAGAGACAAAAGTTTCATGCAATAATACCTTTTTTCTCTTTTCTTTGTCATTTTTCAAAAAATTTACTAATTGTATTTCAGGGCGTACTACTGAGGGGAGATCCACAGTTTGAAAAATACTCTGATAAATCTTTTATGCTAAAGATGTAAATATGACATTTACAAATGGAAAGGATGAGAATTCAGTTATCTTTTTCTTTTCATGAGTATAACACATGTGGACCATTAACATTGAGCGAGGTAATCTGGGCTTAGAGACAGATCATTTTAAAAAGTCCTTCTGTCAGCTGTTCACCGGCCACGGCAGACAGGTAATGTGTTTATCCTGCTAAGAAGGGGAAGTAGAGGGGAGCATTTGGCTTCACAGGGACACCACGCCTGTGAATCTCTTCAGAGGTAGATTTTCTCTCCTCTCCTGGAGTGAGGCTTTTACTAACATTCAGGCTTCTAATACATTTACCTGAAATTTCTTAATATCCACACAAATTGCTGAGACATTTTTCTTTGTAGTAAAGTGAGTCTCTTAATTTTCCCTGAGAAATAGTGTTTCTGAATAATTTTACTGAATCATCAGTTCACTGATTCAGATGCAAAGATTGTGCAAGAAGATCTTAATCTACCCATTGCCATGGAGTCGATTCCACCTTATAGTGACCCTAGGGGACAGAGTAGAACTGCCCCATAGGGTTTCCAAGACGGTAAATCTTAAAGAAGCAGGCCACCTCATCTTTCTCCCATGGAGCCACTGGTGGGTTCTAACTGCCACCCTTTTAGTTAGCAGCCGAATGCTTTAACCACAGCATCACCAAGGCTCCTTAACAAGATCTTAGAAAAGTTAAAATATTAATGGACTGGCAAAGCAATGCTTATTTATTCTCAAATGTTAATATTTAAACATTGATGGAACTCAAGTCCTTATTGTCAAAAGACAAACCATTTTTTGTCTCCTTTAATGTGGAAATGATTGTTGAATGCCCCAAACCTTCCAGAAAGGATTACATTAGGGTTTTACATGTGTGTGAGGCTGATTGGTAAATGTCAGTTGGTGCAGCTTTCAGAGGGTTGCCACCATTGTCACCAGATACATAAGAACCTGTGGTTTTTGATCCTGATGTTAATTGCCCACCCTTCCCTTGTCAGTGTTTGCTGTGCTTTGATTCCTAAAGACAGTGCCGTGGCAATGAGATGCCCCCACGTGTTAAGTTTTAAACCCAGGCTTTGGTTATCAACTTGATGATTATACTGCCTCAGGTGATGAATGAACTGTGGCTGTGTCTCTAATTCTATGTATGCTTTTGTTCTAAGAGCTGTTCTTTGTTTTTGTAGTTGGCCAATTTTTAGTACCACTGAGAGGATACAATTTTATCCTTGTCTATATTATCGAAAGGGAGTAAAAAAGGATGAGGGGAAAAATAGAAATGTTGGTGAAGTTCCTTTATACAGAATTCTGTATTGGGATACTTTTTTTCCTTCTACAGTATCCTTCCCACCTCCAAAAAAGATCATTAAACTTGATTGAACTTTGCAGTTTCATAGTCATTCATTTACCATTGGAGGTGTGCCTTGTTTTGTCCTGGCTTGTTTGGGCTGTTTGAAGTTTCCTGTTGCTTTTGTTTAATTTGAGATGTCTGAGGTTGATGAAGAGAAACAAAGACATATCAGAACAGATGTGATTATATCAGTCAATATCTCAAAAGTGTTAGCCTTGGGTACTTACATTACCATTGTTCTAATTCTTTGTGGTTAATAAAATTCAGAAGTGGCTGTAGATAATAAACAAATAATAAAAATGGCAGCGTCATAATATGGGAGATTTCTGATTGTGTTCTGAATTGTCTTTTTTAACTGTAGGTAATTGGTACACCTCAGAGACCTGCAGCGCCAAATACTATCCTGGTAGGAAGTCCACACACCCCTAACACACATTTTGTATCACAGAACCAGGCTTCAGACTCCTCACCTTGGTCTGCTGGGTGAGCAATATTCCTCTCAAACTATTAGAATTAACAAAATTGCTTAGAGTTTTAATCGTAAAAGTTCTCCATTGTGGCCAAATATGTTGTATGATCATGCAATAGGTTCCCTTATAGATTTATTTTTTTCTAGAGCTCGTAATAAACTCAGTTTGTTTTTCATTGGAAAAGTGCATTTCATACCCAGAAGAGACCTGTAATCAAAGATCTACTTTCACCTCAGTAAATGAGAAGTCAGATTGCTGGGAAAGCAGTTCCCCTTCTGTAGGGCTTTGGTATATTGTTACACTTTCAAGGGTTATCAGTTTTGGCAGAAGAAGAAGAAGAAGAAGCTGGCTTTATCAACTCAGTGGTAACTTTAAAACTTTTCATTGTCTGTACTGGAAAGTAACAATTTAGGAAATAAGTATTTATAAATGTGATCGCTCTTACAGCAGCTTCATCCATAACAGTAAATTTAACTTACGAGATGCTGAGGTTTATGGACCATTAGTGTGTCCCCTCTTGTGGCCCCACCAGAATTGTTATTTAGATCATTTCTTCCTCTAAAGCAGAATCTGATGTGAACACTATTTTACTTGGTCAGCCATATTTCTTTCCTTAGAAACAAGCAAATAGAAACAAAACAGAAAGACTGTGTCTCTATAAAGCAAAAAAATGGTCAGTCTCATTTTAAAAAATTTAGCCAATTAGAAACCAAGAGTGTTCCTTTTCTTTGATATGCTGACTCAAAAAGTTTAGAATTTTGGATTTACCCTCTCGATCTGAAACACTTCATGTTTTTAGCAATTTGGCACCCATTCTCATGGGGGCATGCATCACAGCTTTGTCTAATAGCTTGGTGAAATTTCCACTAAAAATTCCTACGTTTATACCAGAACTTCTCAGAATTCTGATGCTGGTTGATGTCTTAAAAATGTAATGTTTCATGCAAAGATGTATATACATACCAAGATACAGTATCACTGCCTGATCCCTACCTCTTTGGATAGCTGACCCATTTTCCCAGACATTTGAAGATAGAGATGTGAAATCTGGCCTCTTAAATGTACATTTTCTGACCTTGAAAGAAAAAAGCCCAGAACACTGAACACGTGCACTAACAATGTACTACCTCCTTTGATGTAGCTAATTTTCCTATGACTTGGAATAATGAGGAAATCTTGGCCTGATCCTATGAGATCTACTGTACCAGTTGGACTTGGGCCCTTGTTGTGTAGCTTATTACATCTTTTAGGTAATAGTGTATCTTAATTCAAGGTTACCTGTGAAGAATGCTAATGACTGTTTATGTTTTCTTTTGTATTTTTGAAGGAAACGCAACAGAAAAGGAGAGAAGAATGGCAAGGGTCTGAGGCATTTCTCAATGAAGGTTTGTGAGAAGGTTCAGAAGAAAGGAACCACTTCATATAACGAAGTGGCAGATGAATTGGTCGCGGAGTTCAGTGCTGCTGATAACCATATTTTACCAAATGAATCAGTGAGTATATATTGGATGGTCTCGTATGAGACTTTACTTCCCCTCAGAACTCACCTGCTTTTCATAGCTCACTTTTTTTAAATTTTTTAAATTTTGAGTAGTTTCAAACGTGGAAATGTGCCAAATACAGTGCAATTTTTTTTTTTTTTTTTTTTTTCCTGAATCGTTTGAGGGTACATTGCTAATAGGATGTTTCATCAGTCCTGCCCAGATCTTTTAGTGTGTTCCTGGATGGCCCAAATGGTTAACTGCTTGCCTACTAATCAGAAAGCTGGCAGTTCAAATCCACCCAGAGGCACCTTAGAAGAAGGGCCTGGCAGTGTGCTTTTGAGGGGTCACAGCCATAAAAATCCTATAGCAGCAGCTCTGCCTTGGAACATATGGGGTTACCATGAGTCTGAATCGACTCAATGGCAACTAGTTTGTTTTTCATTTTTCTCCCTTCAAACAAGTACATTCTCCTACATAACCACCAATATAGCCATTAGAACCAGGAAGTTAATATCGAAATTATTATAATCTAATTCTCAGACTTCTCCATTTGTTTTACCACTTGTCCCACTAGATGTTCTTTATAGCGAAAGCTTCCAGTTTAGAATCACATGCTGCATTTAATTGTGTTATCTCTTCTGTTTCTTTCAATCTGAAATACATCCTCAGTCTTGCCTTGACTTGCATGACCTTGGCACTTTGAATGTCATGGGACAGTTGGTTTTGTAGAACGTCTGTTAGTGTGGATATGTCTGATGTCTCCTCATGATTAGAGTCAGGCTGAGCATCTTTGATGGGAATGTCACAGAAGAGGGGCTGTGTCCTTACAGCTGATGGGAACTTTGATATCTGATTAAGGTAGTGTCTGCCGGGCTTCTTCACTGTCAAATTTCTCTTTTTCACTTTGTAACTAATAAGAATGTGTGGGGATTACTTTGAGACTCTAAATATTCTTATCCTCGTTAGACTTGCAATTCATTCATTCATTTATATCACTGTACATATACTTTCCTGTTGTGTTCCGTTAACCAAAAAGTTGACGTTTCAAACCCACCCAGCAGCTCATTGGGAGAAAGATCTGGGGACCTGCTTCCATAAAGGTTATAGCCGAGAAAACCCTATGGGGTGGCTATGAGTTGAAATAGACATGATAGCACTTAATAACAAGGGCATTTTATTCAGTGGCTTCTAAGCTGTAACTATCATTTTTTTGTTATGTGCTCAAAAACAGTCCAGATTTGACCAGTGGGAGCCTCTTCCATCTGGCTTATCTGTATTTATTGAAAGCCATCATCAGTTCACACTAATGACAGAAATTCCAAACCATACCCCAGGATCCTTTCTGGCTTCTCCCTTTCTGTGTTCATAACTCCCTCTCTGACAATGTGACACTTGACTCCCATTATATTAATTAGTACTTATTTGATAAATACTCAGAATGGAAGCAGTCCTCTAATGCCCTTCCTGTCCTATCTTCTGCACAGGCATCCCCTTGGGCTTTCCTTGTCCTCTAACACCATTACCAGGCTTCAGCACCCTGCTGTGGGCTTCTGTGGCTCCCTGAGGCATCCCTCCCCCAACACACATACACACACACACACAGACATACACACATCAAGCACTGACCACCTCCCTTGCCTACTCCACCCTGTGGCTTTAGAACTGAATTATTCAGCAAGACTATAAAATTAGGAGCTTCAGTGATAGGTTTATACCATATGAAATGAATTAATGAGACTGTTCATCTGGTCTGAAATTTGAAATGTTAATGTACAAGCTGTGTTGGATCTTTTTGGGAGATTAATACCTGTCTTTACCAGGCTTATGACCAGAAGAATATAAGACGACGAGTCTACGATGCCTTAAATGTCTTAATGGCCATGAACATTATCTCTAAGGAAAAGAAAGAAATCAAATGGATTGGTCTGCCTACTAACTCGGCTCAGGAATGTCAGAATTTAGAGGTATACTTGTAACCTTTTCTTTTATTTAATGTTCATGTAATGTCCAAAAATAATTCAGGCTAAAGCAGGAGTATTTTTGTTCTCTGTACCTTTGATAACTTTGTAAGATTATTTTGCTATATGATCTTGTGCTGTTTGTGCCTAGCACAGACCAGCTGAAGAGGCAGATTCTTAACTCTTCTTGTATAGTTGTTCCCCTCTATTTCTCGGCTCTGATGCTAGGCAGTAAATGAGAAACATTCCTGCCACTTTCTTCCTTTCCTCTTTTAATGTTGGAGAAGTATGCCCAGCCTAACCAAGCTAACTGTGCAAACCCTCAGCTGTTGGTAGAGTTAGTCATGTTGCACTCAGATTTAGTTTAAGTGTGTTGTTGTTAGGTGCTATCAAGTCCATTTCTACTCATAGCAACCCTGCATACGACAGAATGAAACACTGCCTGGTTGTGTGCCACCCTCACAATCCTTGCTATGCTTGAGTCCATCGTTGCAGCCACTATGTCAGTTCATCTCATTGAGGGGCATCCCTTTTCCACTGACCCTTCACTTTACCAAGCATGATATCCTTCTCCAGGGACTGGTCTCTTCTGACAACATGACCAAAGTAGGTGAGATGAAGTCTGGCCATTCTTACTTCTAAGGAGCATTCTGGGTATACTTGTTCCAAGACAGATTTGTTCATTCTTCTGGCAGTCCATGGTAAAGTCTATGTTAAAGTCATGGCAGTCCATGCTGATGTCTAGTGTAGGTAAATTGTGAATCCTTGTTTGTGAGTTATTATTTATTTTAAATCTCATAGCCATATCTAAGGAATAATAGAAGAGAGGGAATAGAATGTGTGATTTTTAAATTGAACAAAAACTCATCTGTAATGTTTTGTTATATGTGCGTGTATGTTTATATATCACACACACATATATATATACTAATATATACACACACACACACCACAATTTGAAAATCGAACAAAAAACCTCCTGTTTCCTATAGCACCTGGATTCTCGATTTGTCTGTTTTCTCACATTTAAATTCTGGACGAATGTTTTTGGCAAAAACCTACTTAGGTGGTGATGTGTTGATACGGTTTTTTTTTTATATTAAGTAAATTGTGAAGATTTCTTGTATTTGTTTATTTTTGAAGGTAGAGAGACAGAGAAGACTTGAAAGAATAAAACAGAAACAATCTCAACTTCAAGAACTTATTCTACAGGTAATAAATTTTATCTTTGGAGGCAAGTAATTTCTTTTTTTCTTCTACTAATTTAGTTCTTCTAACAGTAGTATCTTGCAATTGGAACTTATGCTCCTACATGGTAAATAAAATCTCTGCTTTGGATTGAATGTGAATTTCGTAAGTATTCATTGAACACCTCCTGTCCAGGTATTGTCAGGAACATGGGCTCACGGGACATGAGCCTTGTTCCCAGAGAGAGAGAGAGTGCATTTGGACGAAAGAGAACTTTGTGTGTGTGTGTGTGTGTGTGTGCGTATTTTATGTTACGTGGAACAAAGTGTCTTCATTGGTAGCAGGCATGGCTTCATGGAGAAGATAGCATTTTTTTTTTATATTCACTCTGATACATATGAAGTATGTGCTGAGTACCAGGCACTAGACTAAGTGTTTGGGATATAGTCATGAGCATAATAGACATGGATCTTGTCTTTTTGGAACCTACACGCTAGTAATTGAGGCGGACAGTAAACAAAATAAATGAGACTTGATTAATGCTAGTCAAGAAGCAGACGGGTTGCTTGGTAAAAGAATGAGCATGTGTATTAGGCCTATAGAGAAGATCTACATTGTGGTAATGGAGCCTGTGGAACAGAATGTAACGATTAGAGATTGGAAGGAGGAGGCATCAAAAGAGTGAGGTATGGTCCTGGATTCCTGGGGAAAGGATGGGTCCAGTAACCCAGACAGAGGATCAGTAGGAGCAGCTGCTTGACACTTGGTGATGGGAGCAAGAAAGGGAGAGGAGTTTCATCGCTATCAGGTGGAATTTGAGTTGCTGGGAGAAGTCTTGGCAGCAGGCCGAGGGACCTTCTTGAGTATGAGTTACCTCTGCAGAAGGGATGTTAGCCACTGTGGGGGAGAGTGGAATCAGTAGAAGGAAGCATGCAGAGAGAAGGGGCCTAAGAACACAGTCTATACTCAGGAGAAGAACCAGAAGGAAAAGCTAAAGGGGTAAGAGATTTTAAGGAAGACGTGGAAGGCCATTTGTTGCACATCTAAAGAAAGGCCAAAAAAGAATACTATGGGAAGGTGGGACATTTGTTTTAATTGGGGGCCATGCCAGTGGCCCTTAGACATCACACTATAAACCACTGTTGACTGTGTGTATTTTACTCCCAGGCAAAGTTGCTAGTAGTTAGGGGAGGAGTCTGCTTATTTGCATAAGGAGGTACCTTATTCGAAAAATGGATTACTTCATAAATTAAAAGTTTGTGAAGAAGAGTTGTCTACGATCCAAGTATCCTGGGAGAGGTTGGGTGTATGGTCACTCATGTCTTTGTGTCAAGGTAGCCCTCCAAGGGATGCTTCCAAGTGGAAACTGTGGAGGGTTGGAGCAGGGAGGTTGTGTAGAGTTGATAGAAGGGGTGAGGATGGCTCAAAGAGCAGAGAGGCATAGATTTCTCGTTCTCCAAACTTAAAATGGTGCAAGAGTAGGAATGGGTTGGATTGTTGTCACCTCCTCTGGACTCCCCATTTCTTCCATTCAGTTGCTCCCTAGTAAAATGAATTACTCCCTTTTTCTTTGTTGTCATAGCACATTGTAGCAATTTTTAGAAACCTGAGTGGTTGCTACCTCCCTCCTACAAGCTGTAAGTTCCTGTGGGGCAGGTCCTATGATTGTATCACCAGCACCTTCCTTGGGGCACAGTAGTGGAGCCGTAGGTGTGGGAGAAGCAGGCAAGGAAATGAGTGAAAGCCAATTTCCTAGCTTTAAATTAACAAGAACAAAGTTATCCTCAATGTAAAAACATCCAATTTAGGGCACTGAAGCCTTAACTTTCTTGAGTTAGACCCACAGGACTCTTCCTGTCACCTTCTCACAGGTCTAAAATAAATGACCTCCAAGACATGCACCACTTGACAAGGGCAGGTGCCTATAGGTGTAGGAGGTGTGGGTAAGCTTATGGAGTCCCTCCTTTAGAGGAGCAGGGGATAGAGGAAGAATAAGCGTGGAAAAGCAAGACAGGGAATTTAACTTCAAAATTGATTTTTCTTTCTTTTGATTCTTTTTCTTGGAATATGTTTTTTATTTAAATTGTATGAGTGTTTGCATATCCCACATTCTAAATTCTCCTTTGAGTATTTGATTTTTCAGAATGGATTTTCTTTACCCAGGCTACTAAGTCTTCCTAATACTAAAGAGATCACATGAATTAACCAGGTGTCTGCAGTCTTCGAAATGTTCACTATGATCTCTAAAGGAGAGTTCAAATAAACTCCCTCTTATCTATCTTGTGGGGATGTGGGGAGGATTATAAAGAACTCCTCGGAGAAAAGGTATTATATTGCTACATAACATGTACAATATTATTGTTCCTACCGGTGACTAATATGATTAGTATGTAAATTGGTCCATTTTATTTTAGCAAATTGCCTTCAAGAATCTGGTGCAGAGAAACCGTCAAGCAGAGCAGCAAGCCAACAGGCCACCTCCCTCCAACTCCGTCATCCACCTACCGTTTATCATTGTGAACACCAGCAAGAAGACAGTGATTGACTGCAGTATTTCTAATGACAAGTAGGTGGTTCGTGGAAAAAGAGAAGTTTTCCATCCACCCTTTTGTTTCAGCTGTTGTTTCAAAGCAAAAGTGAAGAAGTGTCATGGTCAGTCTTGTTAGAAAGAAAATAGTGCCTCTGGTAAAATTAGATGTTTGTGATTATGAAATACAGTCTTTTAGTATAATTAATATTCAGATTTCTCTCGCATTTCCATGATCATCTATCTCTCTTTTAAGGAAAACAGATAAAACTTACTGGGGTTGTTATTAGGACCAGTTTCTTAACATTGCGTGAATAGCCAAATAGTTATTGTCTATGATGGAGTGGTGACAGAGCCTTAATTGGAATAGTCCATATACCAGGAGCAGGTGGTTTCCTAGTATATTCACGTCTGTAGTTTGTAGACAGTGACTTATAATACTGCTTGAATCAGTAATGTCTTTTATTTTTGTGGTTATTCATTTTCTGTAGTTTAGAAAATTTTTAAAGAAACACAAGGTGGAAGGGAATCAGAAGGATTGCGTGTGTTAAGAGTGAGTGAGCAGGCTCTGCTTTGGGCCCCCTAAGCCAAGAGTGTGTGTGCTGCCTGTCATCCTTGCAGTTTGTGTTGTTCTAACGGTGAGCTTTTTCCCTTTCAGATTTGAGTATCTATTTAATTTTGACAACACGTTTGAAATCCATGATGATATAGAAGTATTAAAACGAATGGGAATGGCTTGTGGACTAGAATCAGGAAGCTGTTCAGCCGAAGACCTTAAAATGGCAAGAAGTTTGGTACCTAAAGCTCTGGAACCTTATGTGACAGGTCAGAACCACTCTGATGGCCCCAGTGTATTTGCCAGATACACTCTCACTCCTCTTGGATTCCTCCTAGAGTTAATGAATGCTTGGCTTCTCTTTTGCCGAGTTTGACTTCAAACATTTAGATACCAGAGCAATAAGACAAAAAGAAGAGAAAAGTAAAAAAGAACTAAATTGACAAAAGGGATGTGGGTGATTATGGAAGAATGAACGGTGGTGGGCCCTATATAAATGTAAGTGGTCTTACAGTGGAGTAAGATAATAGTCCTGTTAGGTTGCCTTGCCTGCTGGGATTTATTGCAATTTGAGAGTATAAAGCAGCATTTTGTGGCTTTACCCATGTAGTTTATATGATGAAGGTGTTAAAAACAATTAGGATTTCATCTGCCAAATGTTGATCCAGAATTGGGGAAACATTGAAGTTCTTTGAGGAGTGTAACAGGCATGGTGACCCCCCCCCCCAACAGCCCTTCGTGCATGTGCACAAATCGATCACCATAACCTAGTAACCAAGAAAAGCATTTAAAAGTTACTAAATACTCAGTTCCTATAAATGATGTTCCTGCTTTGGAATATGAATGACAACATAAACATGGAAGTTTTTTTTTTTTTTTTTAAGAGCTCTTTTTTCTTTTAAGAGCTTTTATTTTGGTCCTGAGCTTTCATTCTGGTAACTTCCTTAGCTGTGTTGTCAGGGTGCTGGTCACAGACTCAAGGGAGGATGGCTTTCTAACAAAGTGGGAAATAGTGATGTGTGCTGTCTGTTTTCCCATACTTCTCTCATGGTTTGAATTACTCCTTGAGAATCATTGTACTAGAAGAGGTCAGAAAAATTCCTCTTTGTAGCTGGAGGTTTCCTAAGCCTCCTCAGAACAAATGAAAATCTGTCCTGGATTTTAGTACCATCCAGTAAAAACCAGTTCCTTCCCCATTTGCCAGTATCTAGCAATGCGCGCTGATCTGAGTTCTTCATGGTACAGGTTCATTTAAACGCACTTCATTTTGTCCTGTCCTTGGGGGAAATTAACCCACCATCTGGTATACCAGTAGTCTCCAAAATGAAGTGCGGGTACACAAAAGGGCATGTAAGATGATTCTTGGAGAACAGAAAGAAAAATAATTTGTATGTGTATTATTTTACATCCTTTGATTTCTATGTTTGGTTTTAAATGTAGTACAGCAGCACATGTATATAATATGAAGAAACGTACGTATATATTAAAGATTTCCATGCCTTACTAGAAAAAGACTCAGAGATTCTGATCAGCGAAGCTGGAGACTAACACACTAGACACAGTAAGCTCCATGAGGTCAGGGGCTGGGCCTGTTTCCTTCGCCTTTGCGCAGCCTGGTACAAAGTACACATTAAAAAAACATTGCATACATAAGTGCACCCTCTGAACCATTCCTCACATACTCAGAGTCTTCATAAGTTACCCCATTGCCATATTAATATATGTAACTTCAGTTTCTTTAGATTTTCGATGCATCATATGATAATTGTACATTTTGTGAAGTTTATTTTCTCTTTCTTTTCAGAAATGGCTCAGGGATCAATCAGCGGTGTATTTGTCACATCATCAGGTTCAACTTCAAATGGCACAAGGCTTTCTGCCAGGTGACAGCAGTTTATAGTCCTGTATGAGAGTGGGTAACAGAACCTGAGCTTTACCTCGTGTTGGGGCTTCAGTGCAGTGTGGTGCCTAGAGAACAGAATAGTACAGGGCTGCCGTGGTGGACATGGTTGGTTAGCTAGGTCAGGCTGTTCTTTGCCAGTAATTCCGTTTTTAATCTCTATAGTTACAGTATCTATCGAGGCAGTGTGAATATTTCACTTGGCAGTATGAAAGTTCCCTTGATAAATCCCCCAAATTATATGATAACCTAAATTCCTTAGCTATTTAGAACTTGATTAATTCTGTTGAGACAACATAAATTCTCACGTTAACTGATCTCCTGATTTACCTCTCTCCCTCCCAATTCAGAGGTAACTTCAGAAAATGCAGGACTTTAGGACATTACACTACTAGGTTGTCCTCTTGTGTGGCAAGTAGCTTTCTTTTTCTGTTTTTTGTTGGTTTGTTTCCACTTACAAATTATATGTGGGTTTTCTTTTTTTTAAGATGTAGCACACAATAAGCCACCTCTGGGTGGTGCACATGGTGAAGAGCTTGATTAGCCACATGGTTGGCAGTTTGAACCCACCCATGGGCGCCTTGGATGATAGGCCTGGGGATCTACTTCCAAAGTCACAGCCTTCAACCCTCAGGAGCAGTTCCACTCTGCACACAGGGGGTCGCCACGAATCAGAACCAACTTAATGGCAGCTAGCAACAACAATCACACAGTAAAGCAGGGACAAAAATCACCCCAAATCCCACTACTCGGGTACTTACAAATGACATAATGGAATATTTCTTCCTACTTTTTGTCTTGTCTTTTCTATTTTCAAAAACATAGTTGACATCACAATATACTAAATTTATGCCCACTTTTTTTACTTGACATTTTATCATTTATGTGTTTTTTTGTTATTAAAAATAGAGACATTAATATCACACGCAAATAAAATTTTGCTGAAAATAATTCAGAAATGGTTGCAGCAGTATATCTACAGGGAACTGCCAGAAATTCAAGCTGGATTCAGAAGAGGATGTGGAGTAAGGGATATATCATTGTGGATGTTGGATGGATCTTGGCTGAAAGTGAAGAATACCAGAAAGATGTTTAGCTGTGTTTTCTTGACTATGCAGAGTCAATTGACTGTGTGGATCATAACAATGATGGATAACATTGTAAAGAATAGGAGTTCCAGAACACTCAGTTGCACTCATGAGAAACCTGTATATAGGTCAAAAGGCAGTGATTCAGACAGAACAAGGGGATACTAAATGGCTTAAAATCAGGAAACGTGTACAGTAAGGTTGTATCCTTTCACCATACTCATTCAGTCTGTATACTGAGAAAATAATTCAAGAAGCTGGACTTATATGAAAAAGAATGCAGCATTAGGATTGGAGGAAGACTCATTAACAACCTGCAGATATGCACATGACACAACCTTCCTGCTGAAGATGAAGAAGACTTGAAGCACTTATTAATGAAGATCAAAGACTACAGTCTTCAGTATGGGTTATACCTCAATATAAAACAAAATTCCTGACAACTAGACCAATAAGCATTGAACTGTTTCAGGAGGTGGCATATGATCAAGAATCAATGGTATTGACACCAACCAGCAGAGGCAGCACCCAAAGCAGCCACTGCCTGTACCTTCTCCTGACCGCCTGCCCTCCGCCACCCTCCACCTGCCCCAGAATCTCTTCCCTCTTCTCCTCCACCCCCCTTCCTCCTCTGCACACCCAAAGGGTCCCCCCTCATCTGCCCACCCACCCCTATTGTTCTGCCCCCAGCCTCCTGCCCTTCCCCTTCCCGCCCACTCCCCTTTTCCTCCTCAGTCGCCTTACGCCTGCAGGCTTTGGCTTTCACCTCCTACCAGTGACTAAAGAATTGACCACTCAAAAGTCCATCTTCCCAGAACACTGCTTGGCATGGACACTGGTGTGATTGAAGGTAGATTAAATGTCACTCTCACATCTGGTTACTTACGCATGGAAAGAAAGTTGGCAGTGTCACCAGAAGAAAAGGAGAATCAGTTAAGAAGACGTGCAAAGAGAGTGGTGTATGTATCAACACCTCAGAAGGGAACTGTCCTGAGAGAGTTATCACTTTGGTTGGACCCACTAATGGCATCTTTAAAGCCTTTGCTATGATCATTGACAGGCTGGAAGAGGATATTAACAGCTCTGTGACCAGTAGCACAGCGGCCAGTAGACCCTTAGTTACCCTGAGGCTGGTGGTCCCTGCTAGTCATCGTGGCTCTCTCATTGGGAAAGGTGGTTGCAAGATCAAGGAATTATGAGAGAGTGTAGGGGCTCAGGTCCAGGTGGCAGGGGAAATGCTCCCCAACTCATCTGAGTGGGCCATCACTATTGCTGGCATTCTACAATCCATCATTGAGTGTATCAAACAGGTTTGCATGATCATATTGGAGTCCCCCTGAAAGGCATGAGCATCCCATACTGGCCTAAGCTGTCCAGTTCTCTGTCATCTTTGCAGGTGGTCAGAATGGGTATAGCACAGGCAGTAACAGCGCAAGCTTTCCCCACACCATACTGTCCATGTGCCTCAACCCTGACCTGGAGGGACCACCTCTTGAGGCCTGTACCATTCAGGAACTATATGCCATTCCATAACTAGATTTGACCAAGCTGCACCAATTGGCAATGCAACAGTCTCATTTTCCTATGATGCATGGCAACACCAGATTCAGTGGCATTGAATCCATCTTTCCAGAGGTGAGAGGCTATTGGGCAGTTTTAGATGCATGTGCTCAGACTACTTCTCAAGAATTCAAGAATTCATTCTGGGCCTGGAATAAAGCTCACTCCCAGGAGCTGGCTCTCAGCCCAATAGTAAACAAGATGTACATGCAGACCACTCAACCCAGGGTGACGCATCCACATACTCTATGGAAATGCACCCCTTGGAGCAGTCAACCACGGGGCACCAGAGGGGCAACATTCACACAAAGGAAATGCAGGACAAACAGGAGTGTATAACTATGAGGGACATACGGGGAGAGTTACTGGGCAGGGAGGGGAGGAGACTGGGTTAGGGTTGGGGATGATAAATGGGGAGTGAAACTAAATGTACATGTAACGTTGAATGTAAACTCTTAAAATAAAAAAAATTTTTAAAAAATTCACCATTCCAAATTATTTGTTTGGCTGCGTAATTGGGTGTCAGGGTGTCAAAATCAATGAGGTCTGTCAGGTGTGTGGGGCACAGATCAAAATTGCAAACCCAGTGGAAGGATCTACTGATAGGCAGGTTACCATCACAGTATCTGCTGCCAGCATTAGCCTGGCTCAATATCTAATCTGTGTCAAGCTTTCCTTGGAGATGGGTGACATGGGCAGCAGCTAGAACAATGCAGATTCATCCATTAATCCCTTTCTGCTGTTTACCACCACCCATGACCCATCTGTGTAGTTTCTGAACAGTCAGTGATTCCAGGTTTTTAATAGTTCGTAAATTTTCATTTTCTACACTTAAATCATCCACTCATGATTTTTTAATTAAAGCATTTTCATGCCTAAAACAAAAAAGAACCAATGGTATTGAAGGAAGAAGTCGAAGCTGCACTGAAGGAATTGGCAGAAAACAGGCTCCAGAAATTGTTGGAATACTCACTAAGATGTTTTAGCATATAGATGCCACGCTGGAGGCACTTATTCATCTATGCCAAGTAATTGGGAAGACAGCTACTTGGCCAACTGAATGGAAGAGATCCATATTTGTATCCATTCAAGAGAAAGATGATCCAGCAGAATGTGGAAATTATCAAACAATATCATTAATATCACACGCAAGTAAAATTTTGCTGAAGATAATTCAAAAATAATTGCAGCAGTATATTGACGGGAAACTTCTAGAGATGTTAAGTTGGATTCAGAAGAGGACATGGAACAAGGGGTATCATTGCTGATGTCAAATAGATCTTGGCTGAAAGCAAAGAATACCAGAAAGATGTTTACTTGTGTTTTATTGACTGTGCAAAAGCATTTGATTGTGTGGATCATAACAAATTATGGATAATATTGAGAAGAATGGGAATTCCATAACACTTAATTGTACTCATGAGGAACCTATATACATAGATCAGGAGGCTGTCGTTTGAAAAGAACAAGGGGATACTGAATGGTTTGAAATCAGGAAGGGAGTCTGAAATGTTTAACCGTGGTAATTCTGAGAGATAAAATTTGGCTTTAAAAAAAATCGTATTTATATAGTTCTTTTTATTAAATTTTCAAATGCTTACATGTCAGTTTTTATGAGGAACACAATAAAGCCATTGTCACTTCAGAGAAAACACAATTTTAATAGCATGATATTAAATTTTATGAAAGCACCATAATTTATGTAGGTGTTCTCATGTCTTTTTGGCGATTTAGATGGTTTCTTGTTAGGAAAAGTTGCAATATTAGTAGCTTTTGGCTAAATTTTTTTAATCATTTTTTGTTTTGCTAGGCTGGATTTTCCAGATGTTGAATTATTCTGTTAAAAAACAGAACATTTAATAGTTTTTGTTATACAGCATTAATAAAAACCAAATAAAATGTATTAGAATATATGCATATGGCTTTATGTTAATATTTTTAATGTTAGAATGCATTGTTGAGGTCTGGCCTCTATGCTAAGCTTCTGTGATGCTATGTGAACCATCCAAATATCTTTACGTAATCATTTCATGCCCTTCAAAACTCACTTTATTTATTTATTTTTAACATTTTATTGTTGTTTGGCTGAAAGTTTGCAGAGCAGAGTCATTGCCCATTTAACAATTTATATACGTTTTGTTTTCTGACATGAGTTGCAGTCCCTTCAGTGTAGCAGCACTCTTCCCACTTCCTCCCTAGGTTCTCTATTTCCATTTGTCCATCTTTCCTGCCCCTTCCTGCCTTCTGAACTTTGATTTTGGGCACATGATGTCCTTTTGGTCTCATGTGGTTGATTGTTCCCACGAAGCATGTTCCTCATGGGTATTATTTTACTCTTTATAAGCCTGTGTCTGTTGTTTGGCTAAAAGGTAATCCCTGGAATGGGTTCAGTTCCAGATTTGCAAGGTGTCTAAGCACCACAGTCTCAGGGGTTCCACCAGTCTCAGACCAGTAAGTGTGGACTTTTTTATGATTTTTAAATATCACTGTATGTTTTTCTCCCGCTCTGACCAGGGCCTTCTGTTGTGATCCCAAGCAGAGAGGTCAGTAGTGGTAGTCAGTCAGGCACCATCTAGTTCTTCTGGTCTCAGGCTAGTGGAGGCTGTGATTCATGTGGTCCATTAGACCTGTGGACTATAATGATTATTTCCTTAAGTCTGTGATTTCTTCACTCTTCTTTGTTCTGAATGGAAAGAGACCAATAGTTATATCTTAGATGGCTGCTCACAAGCTTTTAAGACCCCAGTTGCTACTCTTAAAGTGGGATGTAGAACATTTTCTTTGTGGACTGTGTTAGGCCAGTTGATCTAGATGTCCTCTGAGATGCTGGTCCTAAGCCCACAAGCCCAGTGACTCAGTCCCTCAAGGTATTTGGTTATGGATAACACGTTTGGATTACTTTGCACCCGTTTGCTGTACTATATACTTGGATATATTTGCCACGCATACAAATATGTATGTAGAAATATCTTCTGCCAAATCTACTATGTTCATGAGTGTACTTTCATATACTCTCCCACACCTGTTCAGCTTGCATATCTACTCATAAATTACTGTTGATTATTACTATTACTGAAAGATTGTGTATGTAGTAGTATTTACTTTTGTTGCTTTTTACTCTTGTGTACTTTCCAGTGTCTTCCTTTGTCTTGGTTGCATAAAATTCACTGTTTCCAAATATTATAATGACCACGCTCCCAATATAGTTCTAACTCTTTTGTGTCCTGATAACTTTGAAAGAGTTAAGCTGTTTAAAAACCAATTTTACTCATTTTTGGGGGAAAAAGCACTTAAGTTGAAATTGCAGAGGGGATTTGGTAGTTGTATTTGAGACTTCTCTTGGGGGTAAATTTCTTAGCATGTTTAATTACAGTAGGTGTTTTCAGCTGTCGATAATCTATTTGATTGATCCATATCAAGTTTTAAGTTCTAAGTTCTCATCCCTTCAGCACTTGGTGTTTCTTAGAATACCTTTTCTTGGTCTTCAACTCAAACGTGCCAAGGAAATCCGAATTACATTTGATGATAACCTTAACAAAAACCTCATATAAGTTCTAGGCCAGGGTTTCTCAACTGTTGGCACTGTTGACATTTGGGGCTGGATAAATGTTTGTTATTGGGGGCCATCTGATGCACTGTAGGGTGTCCAGCACCGTCTTCTACCTCAGAAGCCTGTGGCACCCACTACTCCCAACTGTGACAACCAGAAATGTCTCCGGACATTATCAGATGTCCCCTGGGGTTAAGAATCACTGGTTTCAGGTTGAGACTCACAGAAGCATATTAAAGGGTTAGATAGGTACTAGAGACCGTACCCAAGGACCTTTTGCCTTGGAGAGCCTGGTGGTGGATAGGGTTCATTCTGTACCTGCCTTTATGCACTGGTAGCACTTCCATATGGGCACCTCTTGCACCTTCTCCCTGTCAGAGACCATCTACTCTGATTTCCAGCAAACACATTCACAAGTATAAGGCTGTTTCTCAAAGCGCAGACTGTAGACTCCTTCCTTAAGAACTACCTGAGGGCTTCTTAAAGCTGCAGGTTCTTGGCTCTGCACCAGATATACCAGAAGAATGTTGAGGATGGGGCCTGGGAGCCATCATTTAAACAAACATGTAAACAAATAAGAAAGAGCCCTGGGCGGCTTTTCTATATGCTGTGGTCCAGGAAGCCCTGCCTTTGAACGTGTGTGGCTACGCTAGTGCTCTTGTAGCCAGCCGGTCATCCTGTTCTGCAGGATTGCCTTTTCCCCTCACCTGATACCACCTCCTTCTCAGAGATTAAAAAAATAGCATATAAGTAAAAGGTCTGGAAAGAAGGATCTAATGTTTTCTCAAGCGTGTGTGCTTTGAGGTTTTGTTTCTGGTGTGATAAGTGTGTGTTGGGGGGAATTGTGACCCTGCTAACGTGTTGTTGTTGTTAATGTGCCCTTGAGTTGGGCCCGACTCATAGCGACCCCTCCTTGGGTTTCCAAGGCAGTATCACTATGGAAGTAGATTGCCCCATCTTCCTTCCGAGGAGTGGCTGGTGGGTTTGAACCGCCAGCCTTCTGGTTAGCAGTCAAGTGCCTTAGCCACTGTGCTACCAGAGCTCCCCCTGCTAACATTAACATCATATTAGTTGTTATGTATTCGAGAAAAGGGCTAGAGAGAAAAGAATGAAAATTAATAATAATAGAGTGTTGGGATTTTGTGTTATACATACTCAAAAAAATTTCTGTTTGTGATTGAGGGGAAAAAAAAAAAAACCAAGCCCTAAACCCTAAACCTCTGGGTATTTACCGAGCCTGTCATTTGAAGTAAGGTCATGTGTTAAGGTAGGAAGAGGTAGACTGCATGCAGCCCCTCACTGACCACTTCTTTTTCTTGCAGTGACTTAACCAATGGAGCGGACGGGATGTTGGCCACGAGCTCTAATGGGTCTCAGTACAGTGGCTCCAGGGTGGAGACGCCAGTGTCTTATGTTGGGGAAGATGACGACGACGATGATGACTTTAATGAAAATGATGATGAAGACTGATTGTGTTGGCTTGTAGATTTCCCTTCTCCCCTTCAAATTCCACTTCAGGAAAAAAAATTTGTTTAGGGAAGAGAAACTTTTTGAAAAAATGTGGGTTTTTCTGTTTCTTTTTGGCCTTCCCCCAAGAAGATATTGGTAAGCTATTGAATTTAGACATGCACCTCCAATAAGCAAGCAAGGACTGTTTTTCATAGGATCTTTACAAATGTGGTGTGAATGTGTGTTTTGATACCAGTGTGCTGATGCAGATTCTTTATTTACTTCCTAGGATTTTGTGCTTTCATTTTCTAAATTTTTTTTCTTTTAAAACCAGAGTTCATTTTTTTGCCCCTTAACAATTCTTGCTGAGTTTCCTGAAGAAATTGTACTTCATCCACATCATTGAAAATAAAACGATATCCTTTTGTGGATACACTGAATGGCCATTTGTTTGCAGTGTGTTTGGAATGGTACCACCAACTGAGGGATAGCAAGATTACATCATGAGTTTTTATTTTGTTAAATCATGCAGTGTCCAAAGAAGAACCAAGCAGAATAGCAGAGCTCTACCTTTCAAAAAATTAAGCACCATAAAATTTTATTATGACTTTATTTTTTCTTAAATTATATTGACTTGTGATTTCATTGAGTTTATATCCCCCTCCCTTTTTTTTCCCTCCCACTCTATGTCACAGCACACAAATTACAGAAGTTTTTTTTGTTTGTTGGTTTGGTTTGGTAAAAGTTTACTGCCATGCTGGTGCAGCTATATAAACGTTCTTGAAGGCTTGGAATGGATTATTGCTTATGGTAAAATTTGCCTGATTTCTTACAGGCAGAGTTTGGAAACTTTTTATTATATAGTTGTTTACATACTTATAAGTCTATCATTTAAAGACATGTACTGAAACAAATGTTGTATTTGTTTCGTAAGCATCTTCCTGTAATCTATTATAAAGTTGAAATTAAATATAGAGAATGTTTTAACAGTTTTTTAACTCAAAATTTGTCAATCGTTTTTAATAGTTCTTTTTTTATAAAAAGAAAAAGGAATTTCGGGACAGGCAGTAGTCTCTTTTAAAATTTATTCACAAAACCATTAACTGCACAGTTGCTGTTAGCTGCCTGTTCTAAAACAATAGTCTTTTTATTGAAACACAAATAAACTTTTCTGTAATATTTTATGGAATATAAAGAGACTTTAATTGTTTGACTTGTTTAACTTGGCACTATTAGTTTTTATTAATAAAACGCGCATGGGCATTTTAAACAAGCTCTGTGTTTTTCTAATTCAGGATTATTATCTAGAAATCATTTCATCTTGTTAGTCTTGCTGTACAATTGAGTGAAAAAGCAGGTTGTCAGGGCCAGTGGTGTGTTGGTATTTAATGCTAGCTGGCATCTCATTCCTTCCACTGTCCCAAGTCCTCTAGTAGGCACTCTGCTCCTAGCCAGCAGTGCTCTCATGGCTTGTTCTGGAGTTCTCCTGAACGTTGTGGGAGGCAGGGAGAACCAGGGTGTCCCTCTCCAGCCTGTGGAAGGCTGAGGGAAGGAAATTGTGGCGTGCATAGCGCAAAGAGATCTTCCTTTTCTGGGAGAAGTTTGTTCCTTGACTTTTTCCTGAACTCTAAAAATTGAGACATTTTTTTGACTTTCAGAGAAAGAACAAGATTGTAAGGTATGGAAGGGAATTAAGCATTTTATTTGAGTTGACTGAATAAATCACTGAATGTTTAGGCTTCATAAACGGGTCTGTTTAGAAGAAGGAAGTGGAAACTACACTTTTTTCTTTCCCCTAATCTTGAGTTTCTTTAAATTATCTTGAGGGTTGTTGGTGGTGGTGATGTGTGCCATCAAGTCAGTTCCAACCGTTAGTGACCCTGTAGGATAGAGTTAAGCTGCCCCCAGGTTTTCTACACTGTGATCTTCATGGGAGCAGGTTGCCAGGTCTTCCTCCTATAGAGCTGCTGGTGGGTTCAAGCTGCAGCCCGATGCCTAACCATTGTGCCATCAGGGCTCCTAACCTGAGCGTAGTAGAATATAAGTGGTAGGGAGCAGAACCTTAGAATTTTCTGTGGAGACAGATACACGGTTAGCTTTTTCCTATTTATGTACATTATCTGGCAGCTCCATTTTTGGTGCCTTCATTCAGCCCATGAGCTTATGTCGGAGTTGGGTGTGTCTTGCCGTGTGCCGAGGCACAGAGGTGACTGTCAGGGCCATTAGGTGGGGCATTGTAGCTGAGGTATGGGGGTTTATCCTGAAGGTCATGAAGATTTATTTATTGGTGTCCGTGTAGAGGCTGACTTGGAGGAGTTGAGGCTAGGAGTGGGGAGATGGGGTTCTAGTATGTCTCAGGTTGAGATGGACTAAAGCAGTGACTTGGGGAAAATTCAAGAGGTAGCATTGGCAGGACTTGGTTATGGCTTGTTGTTGTTGTTGTTAGCTATCGTGGAGTTAGGCCCCAACTCAGGGTAACCCCATGCACAATGGAATCGGACCATTGTGATCATAAGATTTGATTGGCTGATTTTTTGGAAGTTGATTGCTAAGCCTTCTTCCTGGTCTGTCTTGGTCTGGAAGTGCCACTGAAGCCTGTTCAGCACCATAGCAGCATGCAAGCCTCCGGTTATGGCTTAAAAATCAAAACTAAACTCACTGCCATCGAGTAGATTCTGACTATAGCAACACGCATTGGGTTTCCAAAGCTGTAAATATTTATGGAAGCATACTGCCACATCTTTTCTTCTGTGTGTGTGTGTATTTTTATACACACACACACACACACAAAGCGCTGACCTTTTGGTTAGCAGTCAAATGCCTTAACTACTACATCACTAGAGCTCCTTCTGGTTGAGTTAGATGTTGTTACTTTGGCTTTGGTGGACTACATTGCTGGAGTATGTTAAGTTTTGGCTGTGCAGTGCTGAGTTTGAGGATCTTGGGGAAACTCTTAGTGGAGGTGGCCTGCATGTTTGGAACCCCGAGGAAAGGTCTGGCAGAGATACTGATTTAAGAGTGTGAAGTGGTGGTTAGGTTGGGAGAGAATCTGATTACTGGTGGAGGAAACAGTGTGCATGAAGAGGTAAGTAGGGAACAGAGCTCATGGGGTCAGGGAAGGCTTGAGAGGAAGAGAGTGCATAGAGAAGGACATGAGTGTCAAGTCCTCCAGAGAGGACTACAGTTCCTTTCTGGGATTTTCCACGTAGGACCTTGTTGCCCACCGTAACAATTTCTTTGGTGAGGTGGCCAAAGCTAATTTTGGTTGGTTGAAGAATGAATGGAAAGTGAGAAAGCTGAAAATGTGGCAATGCATGGACCATTCTGCAGAAAGCTTAGCTTTGAAAGTAAAGAGAAAGTCAGAAGTCGGGTCTGGGAGTGTGTTTAGGAGGTTGTTTTATCAGTTTTGGGAAAGGAGGCAGTGGAAGGGCACAGGTGGAAAGGATCTGGGACATTGGGAAGGATGATCCCTGAGTGTAGGATGGGTCTTCCAAAAGGTAAGATGGATAAAGAAAAGGATAGAGTTCATTTCTATTTCCTCTGGGAAGTAGGAGGGGAGAATCTGAGAGTGAGAAGTAGACAAGAAAGTAGATTTCAAATTAATTAATATGAGTATAGTTAATAATTGGCAAAATACTTGAGATCTGTCCATATTATCCCATCTGCTTTTCCTAATTAATAATTGGAAGTGCTCTGTTGGTGACTGGCTCCTGATAACCTTATATTTTCCTGGGTTCTCTTCACAAGTCTGTGTTTATGCATAATAAAATTGTATGGCAGAACCAACTATTCAGAAATCTGTTTTATACTTAAGTAATATGAGAAGTCATAACAATTCAGGAACTGTTTAATAAGCAACTTTCTACACACATAACACATACTCAGAGGAGAAAGGGGAAAATGGAAAAAATGTCACTGGGGACTTCTGAACATTTGTACACCTGTCCCCTGTTGCCTCCTCACATGTGCTTCCAAAGCCTGAATAGTGTGGCAAGAGAAGCCCAGGCGTCCCAGGAGGCCGGGGGCTCAGTGAGGTTGATGCTCTGCCGAGCAACACTTCCCCTCTGTCCTGGCATCCAAACCTGGTCCTCAGCCACTGTCCTTGCATATTAGTGCTCATCTAGTACTAAAATGTCCTGGTGGTCTTTTGAAAAACTGGTCTAAGTATTCTGTAACTTAAGGGTGACATGTATTTTGAAAGATTCAGCTTTATAAGGGTTAACACATTAAAGATAAGTGAGTACTTCTAAAAACATGAACACTTTTGGATATTTGGATCAGAGTGTTGAATTTGTGGTATGTTAATACGAGAATAAGAATGTTAGTTGACATTTATTCAAACACCTGCTTTGTGCCTAGCACTGTGCTCAGTGACTATATATATATAAACTAAAACCAAACTCGCTGCCATCGAGTCAGATCTGACTCATAGTGACCCCTCCTTGGGTTTCTGAGGTGATATCACTATGGAAGTAGATTACCCAATCTTCTGAGGAGTGGCTTGTGGGTTTGAACTGCCAGCCTTCTGGTTAGCAGTCAAGTATCTAAGGCACTATGCCACCAGAGCTCCTAATATATGTGTGTGTGTGTCTGTGTGTATACACACACACACATATATGGAGCTCTGATGGTGCAGTCCCTAAGGCATATGACTGCTAACTAGAAGGTTGATTCAACCCTATCAGCTGCTCTGTGAAAGGAAGATGGGGCAGTGTACTTCTGTAAAGATTAACCACCTCAGAAACTCAATGGGGGTCACTATGAGTTGGAAACAACTCAATGGTAGTGAGTTTGGTTTGGTTTGGTTTATATATATATAATTATCAGGAGCTCTGGTAGCATAGTGGCTAAAGCACTTACTGTTAACCAGAAGGCTGACGGTTCAAACCCACCAGCCACTCCTCGGAAGGAAGGTTGGGCAATCCTACTTCCGTAGTGATACTGCCTCGGAAACCCAAGGAGGGGTCGCTATGAGTCGGGGCCGACTCGACGGCACATAACAACAACAATATATAATTATTGTTGTTAGGTGCCATCAAGTCATCTCCAACTTACTAGTGATACACTGCCTGGTCCTGTGCCAGCCTCACAATCCTTGTTGTACCTGAGCCCATCGTTGGAGCCACTGTGTCAGTCCCTCTTTTTGAGGGGCTTCTCTGTTTTCGTTGACTCTCCACTTTACCAAGCATGAGATCCTTCTCCAGGGAATGGTCCCTTCTGACAACATGACCAAAGGAGCATTCCAGCTGCACTTCTTCCAGGACAGATTTGTTAGTTCTTTTAGCAGTCCATGGTACTTTCAGTAGTCTTTGTGAACACCACAACTCAAAAGCATCAACTCTTCTTGTTGTTGTTATGTGCTGTCGAGTCGGACCTGACTCATAGCGACCCCTCCTTGGGTTTCCGAGGCAGTATCACTATGGAACTATGGAAGTAGATTGCTTAGGTCTTCCTTATTCATTATATATATATATGGAGCTCTGGTAGCGTAGTGGCTAAGACACTTGCCTGCTAACCAGACAGCTGGCGGTTCAAACCCACCAGCCACTCCTCGGAAGGAAGGTTGGGCAATCCTACTTCTGTAGTGATACTGCCTCGGAAACCCAAGGAGGGGTCGCTATGAGTCGGGGCCGACTCAATGGCACATAACAACAACATATATATATACACACACACACACACACATATACATATATATGTGTGTGCGTGTGTTATTTTACAGCACCCTAATAATAGGTATAAATGAAGGAAGTAGAGAGTCAGAGATAAGACACTTAGCTGGTAAAGAGAGGGAAATGAGAGGTAAAGGTCTCTGACTTGAAAACCCGTGCTCTTGACTGCTGTGCTATACCACCTGCAAGAATGTTAGGATTGATCCCTTTCTCAGGCATATTCTCAAATTATCCCACATTTTCAAGAATTAATAGTTGAAGAATTTCTTTCCAAGGGCAGATTTAGTGGTTCTGTGGTACAGTGCTCTCAAGCATATGTGGGGAGAGGAGAGGGGAGGGATTGGCAAAGGTGGAACCAACAGCATTACAAACTTTGTTTTACTAAGTGAAGATCTTTTTTTAAAGAAAAAGATCAACTACCATGCACTATCACCATAATTTCATATAACCTTTCTTTTCCAAGAAAGGACAGTCTCTTAAACTGTGTGGGTTTTAGACTTTGTGATCTCAGTTTCCTTATCTGTGAAATAGGGCACTCTGGTGGTACTGTGGTTAAAGCATTGGACTGCTAACCAAAAGGTTGGCAGTTCAAACCTACCAGTCACTCTGGGAGAAAGATGAAGCAGCCTGCTTCTGTTAAGATTTACAGACTTGGAAACTATGAGGCAGTCCTGCTTGGTCTTACAGGGTTTCTGTGAGTCAGAATTGACTTAATGGCAATGGGTTTGAGTTTTTTGGTTTACCACGTAGGATAGTGAGGGCTAAAAAGGACAATCCATGTAAGATACTTAGCAGCAGGTGAGCTATTACCACTTTACTCTCTCCCCAGCCCATCACCCAATTCTGAGTACTCCTGGAGTTCTCATTAGTCCTGATGACTTTGGCTGTTGGTTCTGAGGTAACATGTACAACCCAATTCACTCTCATGCTTCCAGTCCCACATTGCATCCTGTTGGAGGACGCATTCATTTGAATGTTCTGCTGTCACCTCAATCTTTGTAACTAGTTTTCTTCCGGTTCACGATACAATTTTCCTCTAAATCTGAGTCAAAACTACCTTTGTCTGTTTTGTTTCTCTCCTTTCCCTATTTGCCAACTCCATCAAATCAGCAAAGTCAAATGTCTCTCCCTGCTCATGGAGCCACTACCAGGGGTCAGCTGTAATCTCCTCCCTCCTGGTTTCCAGTAACAGTCTCCTTTCATTCATCTTGCACAGCAATTTCAGATGAGTTTGATAACAATACTTTCATTCTGTTTCTGGACTTGCTAAAAAGAGAAAATCCTCGATGATTGTCTTCAAACACCTTCCCATCCATTAGGACCTTAGTACCCAAACTACTGAGTTCACCTGAATGTATATTAGAAATGCAGAATCTTGGGCCCCACTCTAGACTTGCACAATCAGAACCTGCATGTATTTAGCAAGAACCTCAAGTGCTGGATGTACATGCTGGAGTGTGAGGTGTGCTTCTCTGAGCTCTGCCTTTTGCATAAAACCCCACTAGCAATCTGGAAATAGTAGTTCCTGTCTATGGTAACTATTGTGCATAATACTAATTTGATGCTTGTCAATTATTGCTGATATTTTCAGACATCTTGTCATAGGCTTATATTCTTTGCTACTATATATGCTGCAAACCACTCTTAGTTGTGTCTTGCCCTTCACTATATACAGGAGTAGTCTCTGAAGGGGGTTTGGGGAAAAAAATGTGAGACTTCGAATTTACATTGTTTATATCTCCTTTAAAAATGCTTTTTGCGTGTTTTATAAAGTAAAAAATATATCAGTGTAATAAAATAGCTGTGTAATATATAATTACGTATGTATTTATAAGGAGCTTTGGTGGTATAGTAATTAAGGCATTTGGCTGCTAACCAGAAGGTTGGCTGTTTGAAACCACCAACTGCTCTGTGGAAGAATTACTAGGCAGTCTGCTTCTGTAAAGATTTACAGCCTTGGAAACTCAATGGGGGTTGCTATGAGTTGGAATTGGCTTGATGGCAGGGAATAAAGAATTCTGGTGGCAAAGTGGTAAGAACATTTGGCTGCTAACCAAAAGGTCAGAAGTTCTAACTCACCAACTGCTCAGCAGGAAAAAGATAAGCAGTCTGCTTCCATAAAGATTTACAGCCTTGAAACCCCATGGGGCAGTTCTCTCTGTCCGATAGGGTCTCTATGAGTCAAAATCAACTTGATGACAGTGGGTTTGGTGGGATTTTAAAATAATACAAATCAACATAAACATTGATAATGTTGCCTCAGAATTTCTTTATTGATAGGAAAGAGCCATGAAAAATGTTTGATACCATGTTTTACATAATGTGTTGTCACGTGTCATGTGTCATGAGCCATCCTCACAATCATTGCTGGTTTGAATCCATTGTTGCAGCCATAGTACAATGGCTCAAATTAATTCAGTTAACCTTACACAATTTTTATAAGTTTCTTTCTCTAGATACTTTGTTTTTAATGAGATTTCTCTGTTAATTGGATTCTGAGCTGGTTTGCTACCACCTGCTTGAAAATGTGTTATTTATAGGTTGGTAGGTTTTTCATATACCAATCAGTTGTATGTAGCTTTGTATGTAGGTCTATTGGAATAACATTAAAGTTGACACTTGTATGAGATTTAGAAAGACATCTGGGTCTCATACAGTTATTTGGGTAGAAAGCAAGTAATATTTAGTGAGAATTGGTTTGTTTGGACAGAATGGAATTGCAGACTTTTATACTCTTGATGGTTGGAGGATGGATAGGGGTGTTAGGCTTGTGCTTAATGAAAGGAAAAATGAGTATTTTTAATTAATATTTTTAAAGTTATGTCAGATGCTAATATTCTTTTTTGTTTCTTTTTAAATTTTTATTGTGATTTGGGTGAAAGTTTACAGAGCACATTCCTTTTCCATAAAGCAATTCATACACATTTTGTTTCTTGTCTCTTCCCACTTCCTCCCTATAGTTACCTCTTCCCTGTGTCCTCCTGTCCTGTGCATTCCTGCCCCCTGAGCTGTCTCCACTAACATTGTTCTTACCATAGCTATTTCTGTCCTGGAAGTGTCCTTTGCTGTACTGTCAGTATGAGTGAGTGTTCTTAGTTGACAGCTCCCACACCAACATTGTTTTGAAAATTTTCCCAACTTGTAACGGAAACTTTAAAAATATTTTTTTAAAAGAAAGTGTTTAATTTTAAGTTACTTTTGTCTCTATATCAGAAGATACGACCTTTTTTTGCATAGAATAAGTGATTTTAATGTTTTTACAATTTAGGAATTGTATTCTTCAAAGCAAGGATTCAGAATATACATTATCCTGTCATGTTTTATATCACTGCATTAATAGTTTTCAATTAAAATGGCTAATGGTTCATACTGAAATATAAAAACCAAACAAACTCACTGCTGTCGAGTTGGATCCGACTCATAGCGACCCCTCCTCGAGTTTCCCGGGCAGTATCACTATGGAAGTCAGTTGCCCTGTTTTCCTTCTGAGGAGTGGCTGGTGGGTTTGAACTGCCAGCCTTCTGGTTAGCAGTCAGATGTCTTAGGCACTACACCACCAGAGCTCCCATATTGAAGTACAGGGAAAAAAACTAGTAAAAAACGTGACTTCTCGGAATGAGATGAATCATCTTGGTGTCCTGTTGCTTGGATAGTTGCTACCTTACTGTTACCATGTTAGATAAACATTTTTATTGTAGCTATATATTCTATCTAAAGAAATAAGAATAAAGGTGTAATAAGAAACAGCCAATACTAACCACAAGTACTTAACATCTAAAAGCTTCTCTGGAATTACCAAATTGACTTTAGGATTGGCGTTGTAAAATGTTTTTAAAGGTAATTTGGAAAGGAACTTGCAGGTATATTAAGACCAACCAAGAAATTGATGGTTTTGTAAATTAGGCTGCAGGTTATGAACCATCTTCTTGAGTCTTACCAAAATTATTATATACCTACTCTTGGTAGTTTACTTCTGGATTTTGAGTTTGAATTCCACTTTTCCTTCATATGGGTCATGGGGATTGTCGAAGGTAACATGTTCTGCAAGGATTTTACACACGATGACAACTTGTGTATTCTTGGGGATGTTGAGAAATTTGGCTGCAACCAAAGGGTTTGTATATTGTGGCTGAAACAGAAGTACAAAAAGCATCGATGTTTAAAGAATCTCTTGACATTCAAGGAAAAATCATATAAACAAGGGTTGTTTTGTGCCATTGAGTCAAATGCAATTCCTAGCAACCCCATAAGACAGAGTAGAACTGCCATCGTAGCGTTTACAAGGCTGTAATCTGTACAGACTGTCGGGTCTTTTCTCCCACAGAGTGGCTGGTAGGTCCAAGCAGCTGACCTTTCAGTTAGCAGCCCAGCACTTAACCATTGCATCACCATGGTTCCTTATAAGCAAAGGAAGGATCAATATCTAGTTAAATTGATAGCAGGGGCAGAAAATTTGATGAAGAGGTGTTCATTTACGTATGTCCTGTCTCTGAATCAACATTGAAGTTCAGTTTACCTTCCCTATTTAATAGATTGGTATCAGCTTTAATACATACATGATAAAAATGTTTCCTCATTTAGAATTAGTCTAGAGGGGACAGGCAAGTAACAGTTGCCAGTAAAAATAACAGTTGATGAAAATTAATGTAGAAATGAAGAGGGAAAAGCAAGAGATAATGGAAGAAAGGCTTTAGAATGGATAAACTCACTGCTGTCGAGTCGGTGCTGACTCATAGCGACCCCTCCTTGGTTTCTGAGGCGGTATCACTATGGAAGTAGATTGCCCAACTTTCCTTCCAAGGAGTGGCTGGTGGGTTTGAACCACCAACCTTCTGGTTTGCAGTCAAATACCTTAGGCAATACGCCACCAGAGCTCCCTTAAAATGGATAGGTGGTTGTCTAAAAGGATTTGAGAGGCTCTTAGAGTTACATTTGATGTGTATTTCATGAGAAACTAAAAAAACCAAACCCATTGCCATCGAGTCAATTCTGCCTTGTAGCGACCTGCATTGGGTTTCTACAGCTGTAAATCTTTACAGAAGCAGACTGCCTCATCTTTCTCCCATGGAGCAGCTGGCAGGTTTAAGCTTCTGACCTTTTGGTTAGCAGCAAAGTGCCTTAACCATCACCAGAGCTCCTTATTTCATTGAGAGGAATATGTTCTTCAGGTAGTTAGGAGAACATGGGTTTGGGGAACATTGGAGCATCAAGTGGTGAGGACTAGCATTCGTTAAGTAATGGCTTTATTTCATTTTATAAATAAAAACATTGCTTTCTTTGTGTTAAGCCTTGCTAAATTGGAGATGATTTGGGGGAAAGTGGTGGTTGTCAGGGGAAAAACAAAGCAAGCATACCTGAGCTTTCTTCCCATAGTAAGGGAAGTAGTGTAGACTGAAGGTGCCATTGGGTGGGTAGTACTCGACATCAAGGGGTTGGCTGTCCTTGTGCTTCTCCTCCTGAGGAGAAGAAACCAGTATGTATTTAGAGTCTTGTCCATGTGCGTTGCTGTGCAGGTGATGACATAAAGACTTTATTGCAGTTAACTACAAAAGCGTTAGTCTTTATAATCAGTATGGAGGTCCTATTGGGAAGGTAATTTGTTAGTATGCAAAACCCTGGCTACTTTAATCGAAAGTTGTATATTTACTGTTTTGAAGCCTTAGTCAGAAAATGCAGGTATATAATTAAGCTGAGCATTTGCTTGGTTATCTGCACATGGAAATGGAAGCCGTTAAAGCTGGTTTGCTGAAACTGGTTTCAAAGTTGGAGTGACTTTCTGGGAGTTAATAAACATGTTTTCCTGAAATCTATCTTTTTTTTCATTATCAGAATTAGCAAAATGTTCAGTGTATATAGTTTAAGCTTGAAGACTAGATGAAGAATGCTTTATGTCAAAGTTTCAAGTCAGTTTACATATATGGATAAAATGACTAAAAGAACTACGGAAAGAAACAAAAATAACCATAACCAGGAAAGAATGAAACCTTTAAAGCAATGTAATGTTTCTGTTACATTGTAAATTTATGTTGTTCAGTTGTTAATAGCAACAGAACTTTTGGTTTCTGATACAATGGTCAAAAGAAAGGTTAGAAAGTATTTTATGAAAGCAAATTTAAAAAAATTTTAATGCTGTACTTTTAACTAGTTTTGAAAATAATTGGAATATACCTGAGATTAATGCCAACCCTCTGTATCATAGTGTACTATTCAGTAATGTAGGCGCTCTGGTGGCATAGTGCCTGAGGCATTAGACTGCTAACCAGAAGGCTGGCAGTTCAAACCCACCAGCCACTCCTTGGAAGGCAGGTTGGGCAATCAATCTACTTCGGTAGAGATACCACCTCGGAAACCCAAGGAGGGGTCGCTGGTCACTATGAGTCGGATCTGACTCAATGGCAGTGTGTTTCTGGTTGGTAATGTAGACTTTTTTTTTTTTTTTTTTTTTTTTGTGATTTAGGTGAAAGTTTACAGAGCAAATTGGTCTTCCATTCAACAATTCATATGCATTTTGTTTCATGACATTGATTTTAATCCCCATGGTGTAACAGCACTCTTCCCTCTTCCTTTGTTTACCATTTCCTTTTGCCCTTCCTTCTTGCCTTCTGAGCTTTAACCGACTGCCATTGAGTTGATTCTGACTTACAGTGAGCCTATAGGACAGAGTGGGAGCTCTGGTAGCGTAGTGCCTAAGGCACGTGATTGCTAACCAGAAGGCTGGCAGTTCAAACCCACCAGCCACTCCTCGGAAAGACAATGGAGCAACCCACTTCCGTAGTGATACTGCCTCAGAAACCCAAGGAGGGGTCACTGTGAGTCGAGTCTGACTCGACGGCACATAACAACAACAGTAACAACATAGGACAGAGTAGAGTTGCCTCATAGGGTTTCCAATGCTGTGAATCTTTATGGAAGCAGACTGCCTCATCTTTCTGTCAAGGAGCAGCTGGTGAGTTTGAGCCACCAACCTTTTTTTGATTAGCAGCCCAATGCTTTAACCACAGCTCCACAAGAGCTCTGCAAATGCTGCCCTTTTGATCACCGTGGTTGATTGTTCTAAGGAGTGCATACCTCCCTGGTGTTACTGTTCATCTTAAGGGTCTGGCTGACAGTTGAGCCACAAGCTTGAGTTCATTCCAGTCTTGAAGAATATCTAAGGGCCATAGTCTCAGAGGTTCCACTAGTCTCTGTAAGACCAGTGAATCTGGTTTTTTCTATTATTTTGAATTTTGTTCCAGATTTTTCTCCTACTGTATCCAGGAACTTCTATTGTGATCCCTTTCAGAGCAGTGGGATGTGGTAGCCAGGTACCATCTACCTCTGGACTCAGGGTCGTGGAGGTGGGGGTCATGTGGTCTATTAATCCTTTGGACTAATTGTGTCCAGGCATCTTTGATTTTCTAATGTGGACTTATTTTTGCAAATAAAAGAATAAAACCACATGCTAAAAGTATCTTGGTTTCCCCACATCACCATTAAACATTCTAAACTATGTTAGTAATAAACTATTCCAGGTGCCTTTGAAGCAAATCAACAATAAGGAAGACATTTCTTAACCGGGTTTTTATGTCTTGTGACAGACTTTTAAATGATGGGGTATGCTATTTGTACAATTGACTGACTTGGCTAAAACTTGAGATCTTTTTAGAGGAAACTTGTAAATGTTATAGTAAAAAAATAAATAAAACTCACTTCTAACCACTCCTTTCCTGTAACAGCCTGAGAGAAACATATAGAAACAAGGACTAGGAAGAGAAGATTCATACTCACCAGGAATGTGCAGTCCACTCTGGGAGCGATGGTACCATTGCTGGGGAGAAAGTTGACAATCTAGAAGGAGGGGAAAATACATTTATATTCACAGACATACTGAACCTGGAACCTCTTAGTACTGTGGAAATGCACACTGCGGTCCCTGTCTATGAATGTGAAAACAAAGCCAAGCTGCCTCCCTATTGAGGGCCTGAGGTTGGGCCATTTCAAGGATTTTGTTTTTCCAGTTGGGGAGTGAGGACATCACCTTTGGTCTGGCTAGTGGTTCCTATTGTAATAAACCCCTAATAAATATAAGTAACTGATATTTTAAGACAAGACTAATCCCTCCAGAGTCTGCTTGGCCTAGGATATAGGGTCTTTGCTCTGGTTTACCAAGCTGCTAAGTGGCAGAGCTGGAACAGAAGCTCAGGTCTGCCTGCCCAGTCTGTAGTGCATGATCTTTGCCATCACTATGGATTTCTTAGTTTGACTTCCAGGCGTAGCCCTCCATAATGTATTAAAATACAGCTTAGTGTCTGGTTGGTAGTAGACATCAACATACTGTTCCCTGTCTCTTTCCCCTTCCTGCATAGTTTACTTTCCCAACCTCATTGTGAGCTCCTTTATGCAGACATTCTTCTACCCATCTGGCCAACTTGCCTTCCAAACATGCTTTGTGCTTTTCCAAACCCATGCATTTACCTCCCATCTGAAATCCCAGCCTTTCGTTTTCACCTGTTTGTGCCAAAAACTTGGTACAGGGCTTGCCTTTCCCATAAACCTTCCTTGAATTTTCTCCAGCCCTAGCCTTTCCCTCCTGTAAGCCTCTGGGGTCCTTCTTATGTGCCCCTGCGTGTTAAAACCAGCTGTCCTCAAGGTGACTGACTCATGGTGACCCCGTGTGTGTCAGAATGAACCTGTCTCCATGGACTGGTTTGGTTTGGCTGGTTTGTCACAAGCAGATTTCCAGGCCTTTCTTTTAAGGTGCCTCTGGGTGAGCTTAAACCTGCTGCAACCTTTTGGTTAGCAGCTGGGCACTCTATTAGACATACACATCAGTCAACTAAAGGCCTGCCAGGGCTCAGGGAAATGAGTCTAACCTGTCAAAGAGCACTGATGAAGTTCCAGCTCAAAGTAAGGACCCTTGATGTCTACACCAGTGGAGTGTATGGCTTTAGACTTTTTGAGATAGAAAATAAATAGTTCCTGTGCCCTGGCTAGATTAGTGCTATTATGCCCTTCTCATCATTTGCTCTTTTTATGGCCGTGAGAGACACCAGGTCTGCCTTGGGGACTGTTGACACCCCAGCACCTCCAGTACCTGACCCTGAAGTACTTAGTAAATATCATATGCAGAAATGAATCTGTGATCTACATTGGAAACCATTGCATTAGATGATAGCCAGATCTCTTCCAACTGAGACCATAACTCTGCCTTACATCCTGCCTTGGCCGCCTTGGAGTTATATGTACGTGTGCTTCTCCACTTAGCCCTGAAGGTAGGGCCTAACTTTAAACAATTCTGCTGTATTCTGCCTGACAATATCCAAACGCTGTATGTACTGATGGGAGCTCTGGTGGCATAGTGCCCAAGGCATTTGACTGCTAACCAGAAGGCTGGTGGTTCAAACCCACCAGCCACTCCTTGGAAGGAAGACTAGGCAATCTACTTCCATAGAGATACCACCTCCAAAACCCAAAGAGGGAGTCCTATGAGTTGGAGTCAACTTTCTGTCAGTGAGTTTATATGTTTATATAAATAAATAAATAAACACATATATGTGTGTATACACACACACACACTGATGAATAAATACTTGTGTCTGAATGGTTGGCCTTCAATTTGTATTTTAGAGAGTACGCTCATGAGCCAAACGAAACGGACACATGTTGAACCAATATATGCAAATGTGGTAAATGGCTTGAAACCCTGGCTAGGAAACTTTATTCCTCAATCTGTGTGTTTCAATGTACAGCAGTTGAACATCATGATCCTGCTATTTCAGTGTGCAGCTCTAGAAGTTTTCACCGGCAGTCTCTGATCGTGGTACTCTCAATACTCACCCTGTTCATTTTAATAATAAAGCACGGCTTTCCTTCTTCAAATCCAAAGTTAGGATCCGTCAGACCCGAGCAGTTTTGCAGCATATCTACTGTGAACTTGCAGGAATACTTGGTGTGGTTTGGAGCCTCAAAACTTTCCTGGAAGTAGTATTTCTCCGAAGAGCAGTTTTTGTTGGCCTTCTGGGCTGCTGGAGAATAAGCTGCCCAGATCACAAAGGCACAAATGAGTAAGGAAACTGACCTGGTTTGTCTGTTGCTGGCTTCTTTGGCTGCTCTTACTCTACAACACTGGTTAGCAGAGGAGCATTGGTGGTGCACTGGTTAAAGTGCTCAACTGCTAACCAGAAGATTGGTGGTTTGAGCCCACTAGCTCCTCCATGGGAGAAAGATAAAAGAGTCTGCTTCTGTAAAGGTGGTTGTTGTTATGTGCCGTCGAGTCGGCCCTGACTCCTAGCGACCCCTCCTTGGGTTTCCGAGGCAGTATCACTATGGAAGTAGGATCGCCCAACCTTCCTTCCGAGGAGTGGCTGGTGGGTTTGAACCGCCAGCCTTCTGGTTAGCGGTCAAGTGCCTTAGGCACTATGCTACCAGAGCTCCTTCTGTAAAGATTAGAACCTTGGAAATCGTAAAGGGAGGTTCTACTCTGTCCTATAGGGCCTCTATGACTCAGAATCAATGCAATGCCAGTAGGCTTATTTTTTTGGTTGGTGGTTTTAAGGATTTTTATCCAGACTAGGTTGTGTAGAAGTTTTAACTTGGTCTTGAGCTTCTGAGTGAAATTTAATTTAGAAAATGAAAACAAAAGTATATGAAGTCTTTTTTTTTTTTTTCTTAACCTTACCTGCCAGGAACTTGTGAAGAGTGTGTGTTAGGTCAGTCCAGGTTCTATTATCAGAAACATTGTAGGAAATGTCCAGACCTTTATCTCCATAAACATCTGGCCTTAAGGTTACCCCTGGAAAGAGAGAACATCATAGTTTTTATTTAGTTTCTTCTAATCTATTCAAGCAGTTTTCTATTAAATTGATGAATAGAATGCAGAACTGCCCCACTTTTATGGGTGCATAAACCAAGGTTTTGGGTGATTTTGGTCAAAGTTAATGTCTGGAAGCAGGGACCCAACTCTTCTAAAGTTCCTTAGAATTTGAGGAAGGAAACCCCATGTACAAGGAAAACTGCAAACCAGACTTCCTCTCTTGGTTTATTTAGAATTGAGTTAAACTTGACAGCAACACAATGAAAAAAAGGCCATATGTATGGTGAAGAATTAAAGACCAGCACCAACCAACCAGTTGCTGACGAGTCGACTCACTTATGGTGACCCCCTGTGTGTCACAGTAGAACTGTGCTCCATAGAGTTTTCAATGGCTGATTTTTCACAAGTAGATGGCCAGGATTTCTTCCACAGTGGCTCTGGGTGAACTCAAACCTACCACCTTTTGGTAAGCAACTGAAAATGTGAACCAGCTGAGTACCGTAAATTGAAGGCTCCTGAGAACTCGCTGATGATGGAATTCGTGGGATTCATGACACTAGCCAGAGAGTTTGGTGCTCCAGTTGACCCTGAGAAAACTGTGTATTCAATGTGTTTTTCACAGGAGCACGATGTACTTGTTATCTCTGATTCATATGTCCACAGTAGGCTCTTCACTGTCTCAATTCTGTCTTGAATTTGCATAGGGCTCCCTCAGGTTGCCAGTTCTTGAAACATGCCTCATGACAAGCAACTTTGAGCTGCAAGACAGGACATTGTTTTCTTCAGTGCTTTGCCCGAGTAAGCATTTACCTCAGCTGTGGTTGCCCTTTTCGTCACTGTTGTTAATGGTACTGAGTACTCCAGAATCCAAGACTGAGTTTCTAAATGAAATTGTATTTTAACACACATTTGAGAAGTTTTCACTGGTATTGATTAAGGACAGAAGTAATCTAACGACATGTTAATTTTTAAAAGGAAAAGTGCAGAAGTGTAGTAAGTTTAAGAGCAAAAGTCATCACTTTCACCAGTCTCAACAGTTTAGTGTGCATCCTTTTAATACAAAGATGTAGAAATGTGTACATGTGTATATCTATATATCTATATCTGTATCTATATTTTGACTCACAGCGACCCTATGAGGCAGAGTAAAACTGTCCCTTAGGGTTTCCAAGGCTGTAAACCTTTATGGAAGTAGACTACCTCATCTTTCTCCCACAGAGTATATGTTGGGTTTGAACCACTGACCTTCTGGTTAGCAGCTGAATGCCTTAACCACTGCACCACTAGAGCTCGTTGTTCCGTAAATAGCATTGTATCCATATATACTTTCTTCATTTTTCAATGCCAATTTAAAACATCTTTTCAATTCATAGGCTTGCTACATTTTTCCTATTGATTGCATAATAGTTGCATAATTGTGTGAGTTGAGTAGTGTACAATTTATTTAACCGATTTCCTATTGGTGAGAATCACTTTTCACATTTTTAAGCCAGGGCTTTAACTTTTCCCTCACATGTGCTATCTTATCTTCTAGCTCTCTGTCTAACTGTCTTGGATCATTTGTTCACTTTCAGCCTCCAGACCACCAGCTTGGCTTTGCTTATTGCTGACCTACCATGAATTGTTTTCATGATATTTTTTATTTTGGCATTCATATTTTTAATTTCTAGCCATCTTTTTCTTTGCTCCTTTTTCATAGCCTGTTCTTGTCCAATGGATACAACATCTGTGATCTTCCTGAGGATACTAGTTAAAATTTATTTAAATTCTCATGTGATCTCTGATTTATTGCTGCTACTTCCAGGTTCAGTTCTGCTTTTTCTTCATGGGTCTTCTCTTTCTTGCTCCATCCCACCCCTAAGTTACCTGAGAATCCTTAGCCATGAGTTTAAATTTGTGAATGAAGAACTGGGTGGATTTGTTAGAGGTAGATGGCATGCGTGTCCTGTGGTTGTGTAGGTCTGTTGCTCCAAAGGCTGTGCTCTTTACTGGAAGGTCTGTTGCGGGCTGTGGGTAAATAGCAAGAGCTGACAGGTGGGCTTGGGCAGCTCCACAACTGCTAAAGCACAAAGCTTAATCCGAGAGTTACGCACTTTATTATAAAGTTCTGCTTAGTGTTTTCTTTGTCTTTCCTCTCCTCTTTCCCCAGTTCTTTGGCTCCAAGGTGGAGGTCTAGAGTCACTCCAAGCTTGCTCTGCTTCTCACCTAGGCCCCAACATCCAATCTAGGTGTTACCCAAGGAGTAACAGCTTTTGTGCATCCTTGGGACTTGGGAGGGATCTAGCAGTTTGCAATGTCCTGCGGGTGGCCTTCAGGGTCCACCCCTTTCTCTGTGCCTGTGAACTCCAGCCTGGGCTTCTCTGTGCTCCTTAGGGAAACAACTTTTATCATTGATCTTTTGGGTGGTGGTTTTCTCTGCTCTTAGTTTTCTTCTTCCTTATCTTTGGTATACTCAGTCAATCTGATCCTGTGTGTTGTTGCCTTCTAAATTTTTCTAAACATTTCTGATGTGTTATGGTTTTGTTGTTAATTACTTTCTATCATTCCAGTGCTGCCTTAATGAGAGTGGAGTGTATACTCGTCTACCATCTTGAACCTTTGGCTCAAGCCTTTAACTTAACTTTGACTCCTTTGTCAGTGTTCAGGGCAGTGTATGGCACATAAAGAAAATTTAATATTCTGAATTTTAATTTTTTATTATGAAAGTAATATATTCCCACAGAAAAAAATCATCCAATACTGAAGGACATTAAATTGAAAGCAAAAACTCTTTTCTCCCTTCCAATTCCTTCATTTCAAATCTTCTGGGCCTACTTTCTGTTAAGTTTCTTGTTTATCCTTCCAGAAATTTTCTATGTGCATATATAAGAATATAAAGAAAGTGAATATAAATCTCATTTGTTTTTCCCCTGTGTAACAAAAAACCTTCTGTTTCAAAATTAAAACTAAAGCCAAAATCAGACTTTATAATTTGGGGTCATCTTCTTCATAGAAGGAAACTGACTGGCCATCTATGCATGCACTTGGGATGTTTTCCAAAGCCAGTTAGGCAGCTGAGGTGGGTGTCTTCAGAAGTCATTGCAGACATGAGCACAGAGACCCCTCTTATTGCTGTCCAGCACTGACCCACTGTCCATGCAGCCCTGTGGGCCCAGGCAAGTGCTTGCTTCTCTGGGCTTCAGTCCAGAAGAGAAAGTATTTTATGTCTGACATTATATTCAGGACTGAATGTTATTACTGCTGCTGCAGCTTTGCTATGGATGTCAATGTCTAGAGATTCTGGTCTCTGGGCATACTTGATACTGGGCTAAAGAGTTCAACTCTAATACTTACCTGGTGATTTTAATTGATCCTGATAATCTGGTGTGTATGGGTCGATTGTCCACATTAATGTGTAAATGCACAGTGCAAAGATCCCTGTCATCACCACGTAGAAACCCACATAATAGAGGCTGATCCACACTGTGAAGAGCAAACAATATTACAAGCAACTAAAAAAAATTGTTTATGTTACATAAATTCACCATTTTAAAGTGTACAATTTAGTGGTATTTAGCACGGCATAGTGCCTAAGGCACTTGACTGCTAACCAGAAGGCTGGTGGTTCAAATGCACTAGCCACTCCTCAGAAGGAAGGTTGGGCAGTCTACTTCCTAGTGATACTGCCTCGGAAACCCAAGGAAGGGTCACTGAGTTGGGTTTGACTCGACGGCACATAACAACAACAACATCAGCACATTCTCAATGTTGTACAACCATCACCACTATCTTGTTCCAGAACATTTCAGTCACTCCAAAAGGAAACCCTGTCCCCATTAAGCAAGCAGTCACTCCTTCCCCTGACTCCCCACAACCATCCTCTATCCCAAGCCCCTAGCAGCCACTAGTCTGCTTTCTGTCTCTGGATTTGCTGTCCTAGATATTTCAAATAGATGGAAACATACAATATGTGACCTTTTGTGTCTGCCTTCTTTCACTTCAGCCAACATTTTAAGTGTAATCTTAGTTACACTTGGTTGCACTAGTAATATATAATCATTACATATTATTATATATTATAATAATAAAAAAATGACAACCACTAACACTAACTGAGCACTTACTACATGTCAGGCATGTTATAGACATTACCCCAATCTTAACTGTGAGGTGGAGTTTTTATTATCCCCATGTTGTTTAGGAGAGGAAACTGAGGTCAGAGAGGTTAGGTAAGTTCCCTGTCAAAGGACACAGTAAGTGACAGAGCCAGGATATAAATACAGGTCTATAAGCTCACAGCTCTTAACATATAGCTTCTGTTTTTCCAGAGCTCCTTGTTTTTGCTTTTTTTAACCTCCTGCCTAAAATAACCACCACTCAGTCTATCAGTTTGTCATGCTGTGGTGGCTTGTGCATTGCCATGAGGCTGGAGACTATGCCACCGGTATTTCAAATACCAGCAGGGTCACCCATGGTGGGCAGGTTTCAGGGGAGCTTCCAGACTAAGACAGACTCAGAAGAAGGAAAGGGCCATCCACTTTTCAAAGAATTGGCCAGTGAGAACCTTATGAATAGCAGTGAAACACTGATTGATATAGTACTGGAAAACTTTATGAATAGCCCTGAAACATTGTCCGATGCAGTGTTAGAAGATGAGCCCCTTAGTTGGAAAACCAAAAAAACAAACCAAACGCACTGCTGTTGAGTCGAACTCGACTCATAGCGACCCCTCCTTGGGTTTCCGACGCGATATCACTACAGAAGTAGATTGCCCAACCTTCCTTCCGAGGAGTGGCTGGTGGGTTTGAACTGCCAGCCTTCTGGTTAGCAGTCAAGTGCCTTAGCCACTACGCTACAGAGCTCCTCTCAGTTGGGAAGGCACTCAATATATGACTGGGGAAGAGTTGCTTCCTCAAACTAGTTGTTGTTGTTGTTATTTGCCGTCAAGTCGGCCCCGACTCATAGCGACCCCTCCTTGTGTTTCTGAGGCAGTATCACTACGGAAGTAGGATTGCCCAACCTTCCTTCCGAGGAGTGGCTGGTGGGTTTGAACCGCCAGCCTTCTGGTTAGCAGTCAAGTGCCTAGGCACTATGCTACCAGAGCTCCTTCCTCAAACTAGAGTCGACCTTAATGACATGGACAGACTAAAGCTTTTGGGGCCTCCATTTGCTGGTGTGGCATGACTCAAAATGGGAAGACACAGCTGCAAACATCTATTAATAATTGGAACATGGAATATAAGAAGTATGAATCTAGGAAAATTGAAAGTTGTCAAAAATGAAATGGAATGCATAAAGATCAGTACCCTAGGCATTAGTGAGCGGAAATGGACTGGTTTTGGCCATTTTGAATCAGACAATTACACGATCTACTATACCAGTAATGACAAATTGAAGAAGAATGGTGTGGCATTCATTGTCACAAAGAATGTTTCAAGATCTGTCCTGAAATACAATGCTATCAGTGATAGGATAATATCCCTATGCCTAAAAGAAAGACCAGTTAATATGATTATTGTTCAAAATTACTCACCAACCACGAAAGCCAAAAATGAGAAAATAGAAGATTTTTTTTTTTTTTTTACCAACTTCTGCAGTTTGAAATTGACCAAACATGCAACCAAGATGTGTTGATTATTACTGGTGATTGGAAGGCAAAAGCTGGAAACAAAGAATCACCAGTAGTTGGAAAATATGGCCGTAGTGACAGAAATGACGCTGGAGATCGCATGATACAATTTTGCAAGACCACAACTTATTCATTGCAAATACTTTTTTTTTCAACAACATAAACAGTGGCTACACATGTGGACTTTGCCAGATGGAATACACAGCTATCAGATCGACTACATCTGTGGAAAGAGGTGATGAAGAAGCTCAATATCTTCAGCCAAAACAAGGCCATGAGCTGATTGTGGAACAGACCATCATCTGCCCATATGCAACTCAAGTTGAAGCTGAAGACGATTAAAACAGGTCCATGAGAGCCAAATTATGACCTAGATTATATTCCACCAGAATTTAGAGACCATCTAAAGAATAGATTTGATGCATTGAATACTAAATACTGAAAACCAGATGAATTGTGGGATAACATCAAGAACATCATACATGAAAAAAGCAAAAGGTTATTAAAAAGACAGGAAAGGAAGAAGAAACTAAAACAGATGTCAGAAGAGACTCTGAAACTTGCTCTTGAACGGAGAGTAGCTAAAGCAAATGGAAGAAATGACAAGATAAAAGAGCTGAACAGAAGATTTCAAAAAGCAGCTTGAAAAGGCAAAGTAAATTATTATAATGAAATGTGCAAAGACCTGGAGTTAGAAAACTAAAAGGGAAGAACACACTCGACATTTCTCAAGCTGAAAGAACTGAAGAAAAAAATTCAAGCCTCAGGTTGCAATATTCAAAGATTCTATGGCAAAATAGTTGATGCAGGAAACACCAAAAAGAAGATAGAAGGAATACACAGAGTCACTGTACCAAAAAGAATTGGTCGATGTTCATCCATTTCAGAAGGTGGCATATGATCAAGAAGGAAGAAGGAAGAAGCTTCACTGAAAGAAGTGGCAAAAAACAAGGCTCCATGAATTCACAGAATACCCATAGAGCTGTTTCAACAAACGGATGCTGCTCTGGAGGCACTTACTCATCTATGCCAAGAAATTTGGAAAATAAGTACCTAACTGCAGTGAATTGCTTGATGTGGCCCTTCTAGCCATTGTCCTCCATTCTGTGGTGTTTCGTAAATCCCATTATCCATGCCTGTTTGGGG